AACCAGTAAGAACTAGCTCTCTGCAAAATGGTCCACCTCCTCAAATATCCTCCTGCTGCTGCTACAGGCGATTGCAGAGACAAAGCAGAACAGCAGCCGCACAGATAGTCCTTCAGACAAAAAAAAGATAGCAGCCAAAATCAGTTTAGGGGAAAAAACGTAGGTTGGGTGGAATACAGATATATTTCTTTGGGGTTATTTTTTTTAAAAAGAAGTCCCTGCAGACCACATGTTAAAAAGCGCACACACCCAATTTTTATCACTGCTCCTCTTGAGCCTTCAAGCCCTACTATTAAGTGAGGAATGATCCAATGAGCCCGTTTACTCGTAAGTATGGCCCATGGAGTTCAATTGAGGCTTGCTGCCCAATTAAGTTTGTGGGTCTGCGAGAATATTACAAGCGAAGAATGGGAAGAAACAAGATTTACCAACTATCAAAGAATGGCAGATGAAGATGATGGACTATATGGAACTTGCCGAACTGACTGGGAGACTTTGAGACCAGAGAGAAGAGACGGTAGAAGATGATTGGAAGAAGTTTAAGGAATATTTGAAAAAATATGTTAATATTTAAATCTTAGAATAGCTTTGGAAGTGGATATAGGATGTAGGGTTAGAAGTAGAAGATAGTGTACAGTGGTACCTCGGGTTACATACGCTTCAGGTTACATACGCTTCAGGTTACAGACTCCGCTAACCCAGAAATAGTGCTTCAGGTTAAGAACTTTGCTTCAGGATGAGAACAGAAATTGTGCTCCGGCGGCGTGGCAGCAGCAGGAGGCCCCATTAGCTAAAGTGGTGCTTCATGTTAAGAACAGTTTCAGGTTAAGTACGGACCTCCGGAACGAATTACGTAAGTATTTAACCCGAGGTACCACTGTATTTTAAAATAGTATTATTTGTAGGTGATAAAATGTGAAGATTTTTAATGGTAAAAGTAAGCGTGATAAAAAAAAGGTTAAAAATTATGATATATGTAAACTGCTAAAGATGAGGTAAAATGAAAATCGGATAGGGGGGACTTGGGGAAGCCCACCTAACAATGTTTAGATAAGATAAGGATAAGACAAAAAATTGTTTGCATTGTTTGTTTTTCTGTTTGTGTTGTTTAGTTGTGTTATAAAATGAATAAAAAAAAGTTTGTGGGTCAGGATTGCAACCTTCCATGTTATTTATTCACATGCTGCTGCATGTATTGACACTTTCAAAAAGTATTCCCAAGGTGGTTTTGCGAAAGGTACAAACGAATAAAAATGTAAACGACACGCATACGCCTCGACACTTGAAATAGACAAGAGTTTTAATGCAGTTTATAGCAAAAGCTTAGCAAGCGGAAAGCAGGTGGCGAATCGACATCTGCAGGGCACCATGGGCACCAGAATAGGCTACTGGCACACTCGGAAAAACCTTCTGCCGCAGGGCGTGGAGACTTTTTGGCCCATGAACCTCTACACCCTGTGACACCCCAGTCCCTACCAGTGCAAGAGGAGCAATATATTGACCATTGTGCTAAAATTCTACCCACTTTCAAGCCATGCCACCCAGACCACAGGCCCAGTGGTATTTTAGGACCGAAAAACTTTGGGGGCACACAAAAGGCAAGGCAAGCTTTCCTCTCGCCCCCCAAAACACGGCAGAGATGTGCGACCGCCCTCTGAATTGTGTTTCTGCAGACTGTGTCTCTCCCCCCCCCCTCCCCCAGTTGCCTTTCTCGGATTCACGCCGACCCAGTTTTCCTAGGAGCAGGACAGCTCAACCTGTCCTAACAAAAAACTGCTTTCTTATCCGCCGTCTCCCGACGGAGCACGATCCCCGGCGAGGCCTCTCTCCCGTTCAAAAACGTTCGAAGAGGATGTTGATGGTCTCCGGGACCTCGGAGATTTCGTCGTCGCCGTCCGCAGCTTGGGCGGCACGAAAGCCGATGGTCAGCCATGTCAGGGCCAGTCGCTGCTGCACGCAAGTGTCACAGAGGTAGCCGTCGGGCTCTTTGGTTCCGTCGCTCTGCCGGGAAAAGTCAGAGGGACTCGTGTGAGTTTTGCGGGGCTCTGCGGAACAAAGTGTATACCTGAAGGAGCGTCTCCAACCCCATCGTTCTGCCCGGACACTGAGGTCCAGCGCCGAGGGCCTTCTGGCGGTTCCCTCACTGCAAGAAGCCAAGTTACAGGGAACCAGGCAGAGGGCCTTCTCGGTAGTGGCGCCTGCCCTGTGGAACGCCCTCCCACCAGATGTCAAAGAGAAAAACAACTACCAGACTTTTAGAAGACATCTGAAGGCAGCCCTGCCTAGGGAAGCGTTTAATGTTTGATGTATTACGGTATTTTAATATTTTGTTGGAAGCCGCCCAGAGTGGCAGAGGAAGCCCAGCCAGATGGGCGGGGTGTGTATGTATGTATATGTATATACATATATTTATTATTATTTATTATTATTAACCTGCTTCTGCGTCTGCAGAATGCATGTGAGGAAGGAGGGCGGAAGGCGGTGACAAGACAGAAGCACTGTTTTGGGGGGACAGGGGGCAGGTGGGTGTGGAGGACTCCCTGGTCCTGAATGGGGTAACTGTGCCCATGAAGGACCAGGTGTGCAGCCTGGGAGTCATTCTGGACTCACAGCTGTCCATGGAGGTGCAGGTTAATTCTGTGTCTAGGGCAGCTGTCTACCAGCTCCATCTGGTACGCAGGCTGAGACCCTCCCTGCCTGTGGACTGTCTCGCCAGAGTGGTGCATGCTATGGTTATCTCCCGCTTGGACTACTGCAATGCACTCTCCGTGGGGCTACCTTTGAAGGTGACCCAGAAACTATAACTAATCCAGAATGCGGCAGCTAGACTGGTGACTGGGAGTGGCAGCTGAGACCACATAACACCAGTCCTGAAAGACCTCCATTGGCTCCCAGTATGTTTCTGGGCACAATTCAAAGTGTTGGTGCTGACTCTTAAAGCCCTAAACGGCCTCGGCCCAGTATACCTGAAGAAGCGTCTCCACCCCTATAGCTCAGCCCGGACACTGAGGTCCAGCGCCGAGGGCCTTCTGGCAGTTCCCTCACTACAAGAAGTGAGGTTACAGGGAACCAGGCAGAGGGCCTTCTCTGTGGTGGCACCCACCCTATGGAACACCCCCCCCATCAGAGGCAACCCTGTACAGTGGTGCCTCGCAAGACGAAATTAATCCGTTCCGTGAGTCTCTTCGTCTTGCGGTTTTTTCGTCTTGCGAAGCACGGCTATTAGCGGCTTAGCGGCTATTAGCGGCTTAGCGGCTATTAACGGCTTAGCAGCTTAGCGGCTATTAACGGCTTAGTGGCTTAGTGGCTATTAACGGCTTAGCGGCTTTAAGAAAAAGGAAACAAACTCGCAAGAACTCGCAAGACGTTTCGTCTTGCGAAGCAAGCCCATAGGGAAATTCGTCTTGCGGAACGACTCAAAAAACGGAAAACCCTTTCATTTAGCGAGTTTTTCGTCTTGCGAGGCATTCGTCTTGCGGGGCACCACTGTATCGGGAATTTTTTTTATGTCTGATGTTTTATTGTGTTTTTATAATTCTGTTGGGAGCCGCCCAGAATGGCTCGGGAAACCCAGCCAGATGGTCGGAGTATAAATATTAAAATTATTATTAATATCGAGCCAATTCCTGTTTCTAAGCGAATGGTGAAGCAAGCGGGGGCATCAGGTGAGTGGCTATCCAAGCAATCATGGGACAGAGGGACTTAACAGAGCAAAGCTAAACTCCAGAACAGGTAAATGGGTGGAACAAACTGTAGAACCAGTAAAACGTTTTCCACTAGCAACACACAGATCGAAATAGGGTGGAGAGAAATTATGTGTCGCCTGCCCCAAGTGCCCAGTTCCGTAAGAAGAGACACGTACGTAAACAAAAGGCATTTTCTTCATGGTTAGGACAGTGTCTCTGGAAATGACATTGTGGCAGCCCTGCCCAGAACACCGAATTTCTGCCTCCTTGCACACTTCACTTGTTAATACGGGCTGAAAATAGTGCTCCTGGAAAAGAAGAAAAAGCAAAATTTTAGTGCAGACAGGTGAGAGAATTTTAAGCCAGGAGTAGCGGGCTGAGTGTAGCCCTCCAGGTCTCCCCATCTGGCCCCCAGGACACGCCCCTCCCTCAGCCATCACCCTGCACCAGCCATCAAGTATCTGTGCCTTCAAGTATTTATCTGCCAGGCTAAAATGTGTCTTTGAATGCAGATTTCCAAAAAATAGCAAGGAGAGACAAGGCAGCATTCTTAAACGAGCTATGCAAAGAAATAGAGGAAAACAACAGAATGGGAAGAACCACAGATCTGTTCAAGAAAATTGGAGCTATGAAAGGAACACTTTGTACAAAGATTACCATAATAAAGGACAAAAGTGGTAAGGACCTAACAGAAGCAGAAGACATCAAGAAGAGGTGGCAAGAATACACAGAGGAATTATACCAGAAAGATATGGATGTCTCGTATACCCCAGGTAGTGTGGTTGCTGATCTCGAGCCAGACATCCTGGAGAGTGAAGTCAAATGGGCCTTAGAAAGCACTGCAAATAACAAGGCCAGTGGAAGTGATGGTATTCCAGCTGAACAATTTAAAATTTTAAAAGATGATGCTGTTAAGGTGCTACACTCAATATGCCAGCAAGTTTGGAAAACTCAGCAGTGGCCAGAGGATTGGAGAAGATCTGTTCAAGAAAATTGAAGATCTGTTCAAGAAAACTTACCGGAAGAGTAAGAAATCAAGATAACAAACTTTTTATAAAAGAATGGAAATGGTTCATTGAATACAGGTGAAACTTGGAAAATTAGAATATCATGGAAAAGTTCATTTATTTCAGTAATTCAACTTAAAAGGTGAAACTAATATATGAGATAGACTCATGACATGCAAAGCAAGATATGTCAAGATATGTTATAATTGTGATGATCATGGCATACAGCCGATGAAAACCCCAAATGAACAATCTCAGAAAATTAGAATATTAAATGAAATCAGCAAAACAAGGATTGCAAATAGAGCAATATTGGACCTCTGAGAAGTAGAAGAATGCATATGTACTCAGGACTTGGTTTGGGCCCCTTTTGCATCAATTACTGCCTCAATGCGGCGTGGCATGGATGCTATCAGCCTGTGGCACTGCTGAGGTGTTAGGGAAGACCAGGAAGCTTCAATAGCAGCCTTCAGCTCTTCTGCATTGCTCAGTCTCATGTCTCTCATCTGTCTCTTGGCAATGCCCCATAGATTCTCTATGGGGTTCAGGCCAGTTGAGTTTGCTGGCCAAGCAAGCACAGTAATCCCATGGGCACTGAACCAGGTTTTGATACTTTTCGCAGTGTGGGCAGGTGCCAAAGTCCTGCCTTGACACCAGATGTCAAAGAGAAGAACAACTACCAGACTTTTAGAAGACATCTGAAGGCAGCCCTGTTTAGGGAAGCTTTTAATGTTTGATGTATTACAGTATTTTAATACTTTGTTGGAAGCCGCCCAGAGTGGCTGGGGAAACCCAGCCAGATGGGCGGGGAATAAATAATAAATTATTATTATTATTGTTATTATTATTATTAAGCAGATGTTCTACGGCTGAGCAACAACCCTTCCTCAAACTCTTCCCCGCCAACTCACCCCGGCCAATGTTATAATCTGGGTCAGTAACTTCGGAACGATGAGGCGCCTCTTGGCGCGGGTGACGGCCACGTACAGCAAGTTCCATTCGTCCTCGGAGGTTGCATCTGGAACAGGACAAAGGCAAGAGGCAGACGGGAAATAAAATAATAATAATAATAATAATAATAATAATAATAATAATAATAATAAATTTTATTTATATGCCGCTGCACAGCGATCCCTCTTGCTGTTCTGGCTTCTGGGATTCAGAATATTTTTTTTTCTTGTTTTCCTCCTCCAAAAACTAGGTGCATCTTATGGTTGGGTGCGTCTTATAGAGCGAAAAATACGGTCACAATGCCTAGGCACTAGAAGAAGAGGAGCTTGGATTTGATATCCCGCCTTTCGCTCCCCTTCAGGAGTCTCAAAGCGGCTCACATTCTCCTTTCCCTTCCTCCCCCACAACAAACACTCTGTGAGGTGTGTGGGGCTGAGAGACTTCAGAGAAGTGTGACTGGCCCAAGGTCACCCAGCAGCTGCATGTGGAGGAGCGGAGACACGAACCCGGTTCACCAGATTACGAGTTCACCGCTCTTAACCACTACATCACACTGGCTCTCACTAGACTGGGCATTCAGCTAGACGAGAAATAAATCCCTATCTGCTGGGTGCATTCCTTGGGCTGGGGTGCTCCCTTGACAGCTGTGAGGAAAGGTAACAGAACTGCGGGCTTTCTCGCTGGAAGAAAAGTAAGGGGAGGTATGTGGGGGGGGTGTAGCCCAGCGTTATCCATTGCAGCTGAATGTTGAAATATTTTTGTAGTGATCAGATGGGATTGCTATGAGGAATTATAAAATATGCATCAAGCCACTGTGTCCACAATGAAAGCATGGCATTGACGGGGTTTGATTCACTGACAATAATTTCTGATCAAATCCCACAAGCCTCTGCACCTCTGCAATTTGCTTTCTCTACGCCTGACAGGCACGTGTAAGCATTCTAAACACAGACTGGTTGTTCATCAGGCATCCTGGGTCATAAGGATAGTAGGTAGCTTCTTTGGTGTAGCTATTGATAGTTTTGTTAATCTTAGGGCCAGGAAGAGAGTTCAGGAAGAGGAATGCATTCCTCTAGTCCTGTTTTATTTACTCTCAGATACGTATGCATGTTCAAAGTAGTC